ATATTAAAAAGAATAGAACGACGCGATAATGTTAATAACGTCTCTCCAAACGCGTCCTTAAAGATGTGGGGGAAGTGCTAAATCCTCTATCAAAAATTGATTACTATGCTGCCTTTTTGTATTAAAAAAAAAAAGAAAAAAAGAAAAAGAAGATTATATAGAAAATAGAGAGGTTGGCCGGAAATTCTTTGCGTTTGCCGAAGATTCATTCAAAAAACCGAAGTCCCCGGCCGAAAATGGGACAGGTGACAACAACGTGATTCGGATACGTGTTACAGTTAACATCCGGGTTTGCCCGCGTAAAATGAGTTTGTCACGTGTCAGCACACGGGGGTATAATGACACGGGAAGATTACTGACCCACGCTTTCGGATGAATGAACGTTGGCGCACGCCTGGTAGCGCAGGAGCAGACGCGAGTCCTGCGTGCACGCTTCCGCCCGTGACTGCGGCGAATTGCACTCGCCCTCGCCCTGGCTGTACGTGAACTCCAAGGGACCCTTAATGGGGCAGGGCAGCGGCGCTGCATTGGAGCGAAACAGAGAGATTAGAGTGGCGTCGCTGGTCAACGTGCCGCATTGGGTCAGCAGACTCGGTTCCGGTGAATCGCTCGTGCAATAAGCTAATAACAATAGAGAGAACATAACGTTGCAACAGTTTACAGTTCCTTGTAAATGTGACGATGAAGACGATGGAGCGCGTATCGGACATTTTGTTTTTTGCGCTCCGGAAATAAAATTCCGAATTAACAATTTAACCGGAGGAAAACGTTACGTCGCGATAACGGACAAAACAATTAAGAGGGGGAAACAAGGACATAGATAAAAATGGATGGTGATTTTTGTTCCGTTCCGATAATTAAGTTTCTTTCAAGAACAAGGGAAAATGGAAAAGAGGTAAGAAGAATGAAGAAAATAAAAACTACAACATAATGTAAGATGATATTTTATCAGGAACAAAAAGGACACCAAAGATTATAATGAGGTTCAGTGAATCATAAGTTTTTATGAAGCTCTGAATTAAAAAGCTAAACATCCTTTAAAGATATAAACAGAATGTCATTTGAAAATCTTGATAATTAGTGATTCCTTACTTTCTTTATACTGCAGAACGTTGGCATGTTGCGCATGCATCACAATGCACCGGTAACATCTATATTTCCTGAAACAGAAATGGAAAAAAAAACAGTTTTAAATATTATTATATAGCTTTATAAATTTTGCCTATTTTTATTTACACGCAACGTATTATTTTCCTGATCATACTTTTGTATTACTTATGAATTAAAATCAATAGAAGTATAAAATGTACAATGGTTATGATTTAAAAATTTTTTTCATTAAAAAATAGATCCGTCTGCTAAGAGCGTGAAAAAAG